TGATATTCTAATTTTATGACCAGCACCTGTATTATTGTTCATTTCCTTTCTTCCTGTTAAACTGCCAACCTGTACATCACTTTTAGATGCATTTGGTTCAACACACTTCAATCCTGTAATTAGATGATTGAGAGGACTCTGGAGGAACTGACTGCATGCGAGGAGGTAAATCAGTCATTTGATTCAGGTGTGTTGAACCAATGATGGATCTAAAAGTTGCAGGATACCAGAGGTCACTCCAGTGCAGGCCTAATGGAAACAGAGAACATATCTTAAAGTCGGCAGCAGCATGTTGAGACCTGTTGCAGTGTCCATGGGACAGGCTGCAAGTCCATGAACATAGGTCACCCTGATGGTTCTGAATAAAACATGATCCACATTTTGGTTTCTTGAATAATTTCATCACTACAAAACACCAGACTGCCACACCTAAACACTTTAATTCCGGTATGAGTCCTGTTCCAATCACAGACCAGCGACCAGGTGGAAATGCTGTCAGACTTTTTCGGCATCAGGACCTTCAGGGTTTGGATTAAGTTCTTAATTCCACTGAATGAATGAAAACAATCTCAGCTGTTTGGTTCTGAATGAACAAAACCAAGTTGAACGTGCTGCCTTTTCAACCATCTGGACCGAAACTACTGGACAAGTGCTTCCAGATTCTTCAGAACCCCAGAAAATCTCTCTGGGTTCGTGTTGGAGCGGCTGTGGTAGAGGTGCATCTGATCACTGGGCCTATGCTTTACGGGTCTGCAGGAATAAATTGGGCTTTCTGCAGATTAATTAATTGGAACTCAAATTTCAGGCATTTTCCAGACCAGAATCCTCCTCTGAGGTCAGAACTTGTGGCTAGAAGTCGGAGCAGGTGGGACAGACAGGGGGGTTCTGATGAGAAGGCATCTGGGGGTCAGTCCAATTCAAACCCAGTTCTGGAACTTGGAGGCTGTGGAACCAGAGATTCTGTGGTTCGGAGGGGAATCAAAGTGATTCAGAGAATCAGAACCCCTCACATCATCATCATCATCATCATCATCATCATCATCATTTAGATCGATGATGAGGATTTTATATGTGGTGATCCTCTCTCTCTCCAGTGTTGGATCAGGATCAAAAAGATTCAATTAGGCCCAGACGTCGGTTCCGAACCCGATCCTGGATTCAGTTTCAGGCCATTTTGGAAAATGTTCTGCCCGTAGCAGCAGGCTGATCCTGGAGCAGCTCTTTGACTCACTGACCTGATTTCTGGCGTCGTTCCTGCGGTAACTCCAGCAGGCCGTGCGGGGCCGCTGCACCTGCGGCTAGGCCCGAACCGAACCGGCCGTCTGCCGGCCTAACTAAGCCGCAGAGACCCACACGCATCCCGCACATCCACAACCTGCTCGGATCTGCTCCATCACGGATGCGGATAGACAGGTGCGCGCCGTGCGCGTGCACAGCGCACACATTATATAACACCCTCCCCCCCCTCCTCCCCCGGTCAGGATGGATGCTGTCCGGGTGAAGCGGGGCTGCCAGGCCGCCCAGGACGCTGCAGCAGCGGCCTGTCAGCCGCCGCTCCGACCCGCTGAGCGGATCAACCAGAACCGCCCCACAAAGCCAATCATTAAGAATTAGAACAAAGCCGGTACCTGAACATCCGAAGCCGAACCAACACCTTCCCCTCCGCTCTACGACCAGCCGTTAAATGAGCAAATCCTCAGAAAAGCCGCTCCTTCCGAACTGCGAGGCGCTGCAGGGCCGCCATCCCGCTAAAGTGCCGCTTCAGGCCGCCAAGAGCTCCGAACACCTACTGGGGGGGACGTCGTCCTGCCGCCGGGCCGAGAGTCTACTGCGAACCGCTACTCCTCCGCCGGCTGTCGGAGGCAAAATGGAGGAGGAGCGGTCCGAGTCCGACAGTGAGACACAGCCGCCACTAGAGGGCAGCAACAGCTGACCTTCAAGCTGCGTCTCACCCTGAAGTTATAAACAACAGTCAACGCAGAAGAAGAGCGGCCTTAAATTAGAGTCAGATCATAAACATATAGAAAATTATTCCTGAGATAATTTCTGATCTTGTTTCTGATAAAATGTTGTAAACATTTCATCACGTGTTGAAAGGAAACAAGCAAACAAATCCAGAGTTTCATAATAAAAGACTCCATGTTCAACTAAACCTATAAAAATATAGCTTATTATTTATTTAAAATAGCTTTTAGAGTAATTAGGGACACTATAAAGCAGCATAGCGACAACTGAATACAATTGATAAAAATCTGATACGATCATCATGAGTAAAGAATAAACTTTAAAATTCTAATAATAAGTCAACTAATTAATTATCTGGTATGTCACTCTGTTTGTTGCTTTGTGGGAAGAAGGTCCTAATCTCTCTAAATGCTGCGTGTATGAACATCTAATGCAACACTGATAATCCAAAAATGCTGAAGATTACCAAAACTAGGTACATTTCAAGTTCATATTTTACAATATACTAAGTATATTGTAAAATATGAACTTGAAATGTGTATATATACTTAGTGTATTGTAAAATATGAACTTGATTTAGTCCAAAATAGTCCAAAAAAGTACATACTTTGTGAACTTATAAGTTCACAAAGTATGTACTTTTTTGGACTATTTTGGCCCAGTTCAATTATACTTTCGCATATCCTTAAAGTAGACTTTTAGGTATAATTTTAGTTTCATAACAAATCAGTATACTTATTGTTTATAAAAGTATACTTTGAAGTTAACTGAAATTAAATGTTTAGTTTACTGGATAGTATACTTTTTCTCTGATGAAATAATCTTGATATATTTGGCAGACTAATTTAAGTACACTTCGAAATGTACTTTTAAATGCTTAAAGTACACTTGAAAGTTGATTACAAATAAATTAGTCGTATACCTGGAAAACTTATGATGGCATACTTCGCCAATGAAGTCCTAGGAAATAGATTTTTTTTACATTTTTCGACATTGTTTTTTTTTCTGAATGAACAAAACCAAGTTTAACAGGCTGCCTTTTCAACCATCTGGACCGAAACTCCTGGACAAATGCTTCCAGATTCTACAGAACCCCAGAAAATCTCTCTGGGTTCATGTTGGACCCACGCTTTACTAGTCTGGTCTGGCTGGTTCTGCTGGAATAAATTGGGTTTTCTACTTTTCTTACTGCAGATTAATAAATCATGAAACTCAAAATTCAGGTACTTTCCTGACCAGAACCCTCCTCAGAGGTTCTATTTTTTGTGAATTTGAACAAGCCCCAGCCACATGGAATTCATTAAATAATAGATGCACAATTTAATTGGGCTCAACAGGCTTTTTTCCTCTTTTTTTTCTCTCTATGCTCAGGGTGACAAATACCTGGTAGCCCATTAGCGAGGACTGATGCTGGCTGGACCAATCACGGCAGCCAATGCGCTCTCCCTCTTGGGTCACAGCTGTCAGTAAATCAATTAACATAGACAGAGGAGAACGGGGAAAATAATAGAAAGAAGAAATAAATAAAAAGATGGCGTAAAAAAAATGAAGGGATAAAAACAGAGAAGCCCTTCAAGCTGATGCTACTAAATACATAAAGCTAACCCTGATGTTCGCTGGCATTGATAGTGGAGTCTCCAGGTGTTTATGGGAGAGAAACACAGTCTTTGTTGGGAAATCTGAACTTTACTTAAGTGATGAACTAAACTCTATCTGGGTCGGATATTAAACATGTTTTGGTCTATTTTAATTTTGCTGTGCTTGTAATCTCTTATCAGTCAATAGTTACATGTAGGCCTAACCCAAACAATTCCAAAAAAATAAAATCCATGGGATTTTGTTTCCAAGTTTGAAGACGTTTCGCTTCCCATCCAGGAAGCTTTTTCTATTCAAAATGTCAGGAATAGTGTTGAGTTTGAGGTTTTATACAGAAGCCCCACAAAGCCTTGTTTTTGTTTTGCAAACATGCAAATTAAAAACAGACAAAGGGGTCCACCCCTTTGGATTGGGGGTCTTTTGGCTTCTTTTGTTTGACTACAATATCCCATACTCATCTAAATGTCTGAACATGTGAACAGTCTGGTCCTCAAAAAAAAAAACTTGAGGACCAGAATGTTCACATTTTGGATTAGGAAAATAAGTGGTTTGAGAGGGGCATGAAGGAAGCCATGTATGTTAAGAAAGAAAAAACGACCTTAAACAGAGGGGGTGGATTCAATTCCCTTTAACAAGACACTAGGATGGGTATGGGATTTTACAGTCTAACAAAAGAAGCTAAACAACCCCCATTCTAATGGAGTGGTCCCCTTCATCTGTTCCAATTTGCATGTTTTCAAAACAACAAGACTTTGTTGGGCTACTGTATAAAACCTCGAACTCAACGCTATTCCTGACATTTTAAATTGAAAAGGCTTCCTGCATGGGAAGTGAAACGTCTTCATACTTGGAAACCAAATCCTTTGAAGTGATTTTCATTTTGTTGAAATGACTATGACCTGGATGACTGAGAACCTTCCTCAGCAATACCTTAATAATTCCTTTTTTATTAACTTACACCAGGGATGGTGATCTTCCTGCCTCAGTAACTTTATTTTTTAATTAATTCAGTTGGTTAAATTTGGTCTTTAATATTTAGGTTTAAATATTCTAGTTTTATAAATTGATATATGTTCACTATGTTGTATTATTTACCCAGAAACAGCTGAAGCTCAACACAGTAAAAATGTTTAGGTAAGGCCAGCTGATTAGACAATTATTTATATACCTTCTCTACACTTGTGTATTTGTCTTTTATACACAAGTATCCCCATTTTTATCTTGTTTTTCAAACATTCATCAAGAAATCCTTGTGATCAATATTTTTTTTAATTTTTAAAATAGGTAATTTCCATCCTTCCTTCTACTGGTTGAACTGGTTCAACTGCCAACCTGTATATTCTCTCCTCCAGTGCAGACCTAACGTAAACAGAGAACCTGCCTGAAAGGCAGCAGCAGCATGTTGAGACCTGTTGCAGTGTCCATGGGAGAGACTGCAGGTACAAAGCTTAAGTGACTGTCAGGTTGGGTGGAGGCTTTCAGGACCCAAATGCAGAGATGAGTATGCAGAGATTAGATTTGCTTATTTAATTAAGAAATAACAGGAAACTGAGGCAAAAAGTTGGAAAAATGCAAAAATACTGACAACCCCAAAAAATGTAATAAATGTCAGGGAAAATACACATGTGGAGCAGAGGTCAAGGAAGCAACAAAACAACAAGAAACAAGCAAACAGCAAACCAGAGTTGGTGTATATATGTGGATGTAATATTTTGAATGTGTGACTCTTAATGGGGGCAAAAACTGAGACAGTTGGAATATGAGAAAAAGTTTATTGAAATAATGGAAATGAACAAGATTAGATTTCAGTTGGTCGGGGGTCTGGTGAGCTCTGCTGGGAAAGATGGGGAGGATGGTGAATAAACTGAGCTTTGGGATTTGTGAGAATTTGGTTTGGGCGGTGAGCTCACTGAGGTGGCGGCTTTGGCTTGGTCTCGGGGAAGAAGGGCTGTTTAGCGGTCTGGGTTGTTGGTGCAGATCCAGATTCTCTCTATGTGTTATTTTGTTGGAGGGTGGACAGGCAGGCAAGCGCAGGCAGGAGGGCTGACAGATGGATCCGGGGTTCTTCTCTGGAAAGAGAACGTTCCAGTTGTCTCTCAGATTCTAAACCCCCGGCATGGGTTTCCAGTTCTTTAACTGGATGGCTTTCTGGAAGGAAATCACAAGGTTAGGTTAAGGTCTCACAGAAAATAGGGCTTTCAAAGAGTAGGTCTGTACCACGCTGATGCATAAACGAACTGACGCCCTCCTCCTGGTTTCAGCTCCTTATGAAGGCTGGTAATTAGCTCTGATGGAACGGACCTGCCCGTCCAGCCCTGCAGAGAGGAGGGTGAAAGAAAACACAGACCTGCACCTAGACCACAGAGCAATGACAGTGGAACAGAACAAAGGATGGGCTAATGAGCTGATATGGAGCAGGTGTTGATAGAACTAACTAGAAGGAAGCCAAGGGGAAAGGAACAGGCACAAGGGGGCAACAGAGAGTAACTCGGGAAATGCCAAACTGACAAAAGATACAGAATAACAAAGAAACTAAAAATAAACTAAAACAGAAGGCAGAACCCTGACAGATTCATCAAACAATGTCAAATGAAACAATGAGAAATTAAACTGTAAAAAAATAAATAAAGTAAACATTTTAAAATAAAACATTGAAAAACTAAACACTTTAAAAGGCATCCAACAAAGATGTCTGAGCTGTTCAATCCTTTACCAAATGACCAATCAAGCTCCTCACCCTATCTCTAAGTGAGAGCCCATCCACCCTGCAGAGAAAACTAATTTCAGCTGCTTGTATCAGGGTCTCCTTCTTTGTGTCATGATCCAGATTTCTTAACCATAGGTGAGGGTAGGAATATAGACCGACTGGTAAATTGAGAGCTTTAACTCTTTACCTCAGCCCTCTCTTCACCTTTGAAAAATGAAACATTGAAAAATCAAAAGAGGAAAACTTAAACTGTGAAGAACTAAAAAAATAAAACTTCCATCCATCCATCCATCCATCCATCCATCCATCCATCCATCCATCCA